CAGAGATATTGAGATGTAATTCTGCACCAGGCTTTTCTAATCATGTAAAATTAACACACTCTAAAACTCAAATTAGACAGTTAACCGAATTAACATTTAGATCAGTTGATTGTGACCTTCAGTTATTGAAGTTGCTAATTTATTTATAGACAAAACATACTCTTATTAATTTACTTTAGAAAAACCCACTCATTTAGGATGGCATTAATTCCTCATTTTGCAAGAAAAAGAAAGTGATTCTGGGAGAGTTTTAGCAATTGTCCACATTTCACATGGTAGGTCAACTGGGATATCAGAAATAGGACTCCAGCCTATTCAGTGAGATAATAAATGTTCAAAGAGCTTTGTAAACTGTATAAAAATGTAGGTTCCGTCCAAGCTCGATTAGAACACTATGTGTTCAAATACACTTCAACTGAATTCTGTTACAAAAGACTCCTTTTCCCACAGCATGATACTGCCATGAAGATGAATATTTATCACTATCCCAAAAGGAAAAAAAGGAAGGCATTTCTTGGAATTGAAGAAAATACGTATTTTTTTTTTCATGTGATGTCTCTATTATCTGTTTGTGACAGCTGTCGGGAGCTCTTTATTTGTCCTGTTGCCATTTTGAATAGTTTGATCGATTTCCTCTCTATCCATCCCCACAAATTCATAGACAAGATTCTTTACCACCATATTTAACATTAAACAGGGAGAAAGTCCCATTTTTCAGGGGAATGGAGCTCCATGCCCTGAAGCATTCTGACAAGAGTCTCTCAGTGGATCTTTTCTTGAAGAAAGGTCTTGACTGTGACGTAACTGCATTTGAATATCTTAGCCCCAAAACACACTTTCAACTTCCTTGTCTCCACCTGAGATGCAGGCAGAGCCAAACAAATAATGTCAGATCATTTGGATACCCTGGTTCATGGGATTGGATCTGAAGGAAGTTATGTTATTGTCACTTTTGTATTACAGGGAAGACGCAGTAAGTACCACTGGATTTTTCTCTGAGCTTTTTAAATCAGCTGCCAACAGCACAAATGTGCATGTCCATATTGATGTGATAGCACTGATTTCCTTAGGAAACACTTGAATGATCAAAACCAGTTGTGCTGTAAAACATGTTTCAGAGGGCCACGCTTGAGGTTCAGAGCAAGCAATCAGGGATGCTTGACCTTGACATGACTTTCATGTTGATTTATTCCTATATTTGCAAATTTTTTGTAATAGGACAAACCTCAGGATGGACTCAATTTAACATTAGAAAGTTGCTAGCATATTCACAGTAACTCCAACCGAAGTATTCTTCTGTTCGAAAATTTGTTCATGCAGTTTCAGATTCCAGTCTTAGCACTTCAGTTCTTCACTGTTTCATGCTTAAGAATGTTACCTATTTACTACTGCTGAGAAAAAAGGAATGGTGGCAACTGAAGGACTCCTCAATAGACATTTCTACGTGTTGCCAATTAAACCTAACAAAATTTTACTTGAGTATAAACGAATCTATTGGACTTTAGATTATAAAATGGCAGACAGGCCCTTGATAACAAAATCTAAACTATTTAAACAAAATCTAAATGTTTTGAACTGAACCATCCACAGCACCACACTGACAATGGTTGGAAACCACAGTCTCCCCAAACTTTCCTGCTCAGTTTCTCTGCAGTTGGTCATGAGTGTGCAGCAAAACACAAAATCCACTGTCTATGGGAGAAACGCCAGAAGGGACAAGAAACCCCATGCATATGGGTGAGTTGCAAGTCCTTTGCTTAGTCAGGAAATCTATGCGGCCTAAGCTCTTAAGTCTGACCTGTTTTCCTAACTAGGATATGAGCTAGTCCAGCTCCAAGTAAAAGTTTTCCTTTAAAAATTCACTAAATTCCAACACTCTTGCTCTTTTCTCTTCCTTCTACATAGGATTCTTCACACTACTATGTGGCTCCATTCTGGGAGGGCACTTTTCCATGATCTGTCCCTCCTACTTCATCATCCTTCTAGTCACACAGGCCAGACAGTCACCCAGGAGAAACAAAGTTCTTAAGCTCTGTTGAGTCATGACCCCTTTGAGAATCTCGAATCTGGGTCGTCTAATCAGGAAAATTCACGCATACACTCAAGTACACACGACATTTTAGCACTTCATGAATCCCCAGAGGACCATCCACGGACCCTGAGTTGAGGGATCTCTGGAAGTGGAAAGATTCCTAAGTACATCTGGAGACAGAACCCCTAGATTCAAATTCCAGTTTTGTCCCTTGCTAACTATAAGACTTTAAGCAAGTCAATTAAAATACTTTGCAGTTTTCTCATTTACAAAGTTCCTGCTCTCACCACCACTGTTGGTTCTATCAATAAAAATTGTTATGTGTATCAAAATTTTGTAATTATATATCCCTATGTAAGGTAAAGTACGTCTTTTAGTTAGAAACCTTGGAGTTATCTTTGAGTCGTTGTTTCTGTTTGTCTCCTAAAATCTGTTTTTGTTCCTTCAAAGCATCTCTCTTTGACTCACTCACCACCTCAAGTCCTTATGTCTGAACCTGAATCTCTTCTTCCCAGCTGTTATATATCTATACACATTCTTATACATGAATAAATAAACATATATAGACATATATAATGTCTACGTCTATGTTTGTGTATGTAAACATAAACAATTTGTATATGTGAATATATATTCCTTTATCCCCCTGACTTGGCTATGATTCTGTTAGATAACCATGTTTCCAACAACAATGCATTGCTTGATCTAAATGATGTTTTCTCTCTTATCATTCGCCCAATTGGCACAAACCACGCCAAGAAAAGCCAAGTGTGCTCAAGAAAATTTAGAGAATGTATGTAAAAAGAGTATTTGCTAATGTGTGGAGGGAGAAAATGGACATGAATAACCAATGAAGAGGATTTTGTTAGGAAAATTTCATCGCATCCAATAGAAACTTAGCTCTATTTTGAAACAGAGATATTAAGAAAATGTCAAATAGAATAGAACAAAATAGTATCCTGTTGTCTTTTACAAGGTTCATAGACTACTAACTCTGGGAGGTGACTCACACCCAACCTTCCAACGCTGGGATCCCCAGCTTGCCTAGAACCCATCTCTGAAAGTCTGTGCAACATTCAAGAGTGAAATACGAGCAATGTAAAAACTTAAAGGCATAATGTTATTAATACAGGTCATACTGGTGTTCAGAACGCTGAATTATATTTCTGAAAATGATTATATTTGTAAATATACTATGTTCCTTGATTAATAATCTAAGTTTCAACAATACAGAATCACACAAAAATGTTGAGGAATGGCATCCGGGACATAATAATATCTGCGGTCCAGGAGTGATCCACATGTGGATTTGGTGGTGCCAGTGACAATAGGGCTCACATGTGGCTGTCTGCCCTCACTGCAGGATTCTGCTTTTTGAAAATCCTACCCTCCTTCTGCCCAAGCAATACAGCACTGGCTGAAGCACTGAAAACATTTTGCCTTGCCAAGCAGCCAGCAGTTACTTCTATATTCTGTCTTCCTCCCTACAACAAACTGTTAATAAAAACGTCCTAGCTTGTTCTTTCTCAAAACTTCACAATGTGATTTAAAACACAAAATAATCTCAAAAAGATAATATCTTAAAGCAGAAAAATACACATTTGTTAGACAATAAATTGCAAAAATTCTCTTTTGAACTAGCACGGTACATCACTTTTTAGCACCGACCTTTACACCAAATTTGCTTACAATTACTACATTAAATAATAAGATTTATTCAACTACAATTTCTTAACATACTATTGTGTGACAATCACTGTGAAATGTACTACTTTATAATTCAGCTAATTTAAAAACTCACTGTGGGGGCCAGCCCCGTGGCCGAGTGGTTAACTTCTCGCGCTCCGCTGCAGGCAGCCCAGTGTTTTGTCAGTTCGAATCCTGGGCGCAGACATGGCACCGCTCATCGAGCCACGCTGAGGCGGTGTCCCACATGCCACAACTAGAAGGACCCACAACTAGGGAACATACAACTATATACCGGGGGGCTTTGAGGAGAAAAAGGAAAAAAATAAAATCTTTAAAAAAAAAAACTCACTGTGATAAGTAGGAAGATTCCCAAAGATGAGAGAAAAACGCAATGAAAGGAAGTAATTCACAAAGGCCTGTATTACTATCTGTTGCTGCATAACAAATCACCCTAAAACTTAGCAACTGAAAACAGCAGTAAACATCTATCATCTCATTCAGTTTCTGTGGGTCACGAATTATCTGGGAGACTAATCTTAGCTGAGCAGTTGTAGCTCAGGTTCTCTCACGTGGTTGCTGTCCAGATGTTGGTCTGGGCTCAGTCATCTGAAGGTTGATAGGTCAAGGCATCACTTTCGAGATGGCTCACTCTCATGGATGGACAGTGGTTCTGGGTGTTGGCAGGAGGCCTCAGTTCCCAGCCATGTGGCAGCTCCATAGAGCTGCTTTAGTGTCCTTACATTATGGCAGCTGGCTTTCCCAGGAGCAAGTGATCCAAGAAAAAGCAAGGAGGAAACCACTGTCTTTTATGACCTAGTCTCAAAAGTCATACTTCGTCATTTCTGCAACACCGTACTGGTTACACAGGTCAGCCCTGTTCACTGAGGGAGGAAACTACACGAGGGCGAGCACACCAGGAGGCAAAGTTCACCAGGCCCATGTTGGAGGTTGGCTACCACAGATCCACACATAACTCTAAATCACCAAAATATTAAGAGTGTGTGGGAGGGTGGGGGTAGAGGGCACAAAAAGTTTCCTTGGATTGAGAGGGACCTAGTTTCAAGAACTAAGTCTACTAATTACTAAGTGTGTGATTGGGGAACATGATCCAACTCCTTGGAACTTCAGTCTTCTCATTTTTAAAAACGTTACAATACTGTGGCAGACCCAGTAACATTCACCACTATCCATTTGCTGCCTCGTATTCCCATCCCCCTTACAGTGAGGTCGGACTATGTGACTAGCTGCGGGCAATGGGCTATGAGGGAAAGTAATGTGTGTAACGTTCAGGCTGAGGCCTTAAAAACCCAAGCATGAGTCTCCTGTCACTTTTCCCTGCCACAACAACCAAGGAGCTGCGTACTCTGGGCAGTGAAGCTGCAGGGTGCTAGCGCTTCCCTCGGCCTTAACTGTCAAGTACCAGCAAGGGGAACTGCCTTGAAAGTCTCCTGGCACCATAGTGAATATGGTGTGAGCAAAACATAAACCTTTATATTATCAGGACACAGATATGTTGGGTCTGTTTGATACCACAGTATAATCTAGCCTATTCTAATTCACATATCTAAAAAGAATGAAACTTATTTTGAGAATTAAATGAGAAAATACGTGATAAGCTCCTAACACAGTAAGTAACACATGATGGGTATTTTAGCATGTCAGTTCATCACCTTAGCATAAAAAAAGGAATAATATTTACCTCACAGAATTGCTTTCAAAATTAAAAGAAATAACACACATGAAAAATTTTACCACATATAAACGAGGTAATAAAGATGAGAGGTTTTATTCCTTCTTTCCTCTGAACTGCGATCAGAGGTGATTCAGAGAGTCTTTTTCCTCCCATCAGAACTCCTCTTCCTCTACATTCAAAGCTTCCGAGTCCCTGGGAAGCTAACAGACTGAGCTTATTTGAAAGTTCCAGAAAAATATCATATTTTCTACTTAAGACATAAAATGCATGACAGAAATGATATTAGTTTAAAAGATTTACCAATCTTGACAATAACGCAATGAATTCATTTCAGAATTACTCTAAATTAGTCACTATTTCCTTACGTGTAAAGAAAACGTAGTTCACCTTCTTTTTACTGTTGATATTAAAGGCCCATAAATGCCATCTTTCAGGGCTTTTGTCCCACCAAGAGAATTATGTAAGAAGTGACTAGACCTGTGTCATCTGTAAACTCAATAACATAAAAAGCTGAAGTATAATTGGATCCTCTGGACATAAATGAATATGAGTAAGGGACAATCAGGAGAAATATCTTCTTTAAGAGAATCCAGACATTTGGGTGCCAACAGTCACTACATCGTTTCACAGGATTTGTTCCAGAGAGAGTCCATCGAGAATATATTGTGAGCTCTCAATCAACAGACTAGTACAACTCATCTGTTTTCTCATTGAAAAACTAGTCACGTGTGTCTTTGTAATGTAAGCCACAGGATCGATGGCCCATCTGTTACATGCCCAGGTCACACAGTCTAACAGTGGAGTGCTGGTGTCAATGGAATCTGGCTCTTCAGCCAGACAGAGGCTCCGGAATCTTTGGCATTCTTCTGTTACTGTCCTTCACTGAAAGGCTCCCGGCAATGGCCAACATGCCCACTGCAGCACAGAAAAAGGAGAATGGCATGGATTCTGCTGCTCTCCCTCTCCTCAGAAGAAGTGAGAAAATAGATTGCCCAGATTCATTCTGCTTTCCTGGTTGTAGCCAAAGACATAGGGAAATGAGAGCTGCACTGTTGAGAATGCAGGTGCAGAGTCTCGTACTAACCGCGATCTCACAGACCAGTGTTGCTCTTCCGTGTGTTCCCTGCGCTGCAGAATGGATGTGTGAGTGGTGCTGAGTCATGGTGACACAGTATCTTGCTGCAGACATTATCAATCGGGATGTTACAAGGTCACACTTTCTCCTGACTCTGTGGCCCTGTGGCTCTTTACCTGTTCAAGGTTAAGCATTGCTGCCTCGGAGTCTGGGTGTTTGAGGACCTCACACAAGATCTCCTCACCTGGTCTGCTAACCTTAATGCACCTGTTAAAACCAGTAGCATTAGATGTCATCAAAGTAAAAAGAAAAATTACAAAGAAAAATAAAGTGTAAGAATATATACGTAATAGTATTTAATAGTGCATTGTTTTATGTACAAAGTAATACACTTTTTAGAACGTGAAAGCCCTTCTATTAGCATCACTGCCTGTCGTTTCTTTGTCTCAGGATTTGTGATTTAAGTGTTGAGCTAAAAAACTACAGCCATGAATTCAAAGCCCTGATGTGGTCTGTCTCAGACCTCCCTAGCAGCATTCTTTAACTGTAAAATGGGAAGAACAATTCTATTGACACATCAAAAAATTAAAAGGATTATGGACAATTAAATTCTAAAGTAAATGGTAACAATTACAAGGCAGTAGACATTACTAAATACGAAGATTAATTTTAATGAGATCATTATGTTATCAGTTACCTGGATTTTATTATTTAACCAAGTGGGGCGGGGAGAATGAATTTTCCATATGAATCCTGGGTTATTCCTATAATACTCAATAGATTTATCAAAATAATAAAATAAAGATATACAAATATGCCCCATCTTATACATTTTGTTTCTTGTTTAAATGTAACAAGAGTTTAATGAACATTGTTTGATGTGCTGTTGGGAATCAGATAGAAGCATTAGGAAAGTGTCCCTGCCTCCAATGACCTTAAGGCCTTGGGGAAATAACAGACACACACAACTTATCCCTATCTTTTATCCTCAAATCTTCTGCCTCTAGACCAAAAATAGAAAAAAATCCAGCCAGAAAAACTATTCAAACCCTAATAATTCTTAGAAATGTTCCCCACCCAGCATCTCTCAACTCCTACTACAACTCCCCCATTCCTGTGTCATCATCTCATCACCCATAAACAATTACAACAACAACTGGCCACCTGTCTTTCTTTACTCCAGGTGTACATCTGAAACATAAACAATTAGGTCTTACTGACTTAAAACTTGGGTAATTCCTTATTGACTAGACAATAAAATAAAATCTCACCACCTGATATAAAATACTCTTCATGGGCTCATCTTACCTCTCTTTAAACCTAATTGCCAACTCAACACATTCTACTCTGTTTCCAGAGTACTCCTCCCCCTGCCATCTTCTTACAATTAACAAGTCATGCCAGGTTCTTTCATGGGCTGCGTTGTTAGTTTTTTTAAAACGCTCTCTCTCTCTTTCTCTCTCTCCCTAAAGTGGCCTTAACTCTCTTCTTGTCCAACAACATTTTATTCATCCTTAAAAACCCAGTTTCAGGGATGGCTCAGTGGCATAGTAGATAAATTCGTATACTCTGCTTCAGCAGCCCAGGGATCACAGCTTTGGGTCCCAGATGTGGACCTATACACTGCTCATTAAGCCATGCTGTGGTGGTGACCTACATACAAAATAGAGGAAGACTGGCACAGATGTTAGCTCAGGGCCAACCTTCCTCACTAAAAAAGAAAAAAGCAACCCAGTTTCAATATCACATATTTAGTGAAGCCTCCATCAAGCTACCTTTTGTGGATTAGAAGCAATTAATTTCATTGTTATAACATTTGTCATACTGCATTATAATGTCAATATTACCTCTGTCTTTCCAGAGCTACACTGTGAGCTCCACATGGGCAGTGATTGTCTTATTTATTTTTATATCCCCAGCACCAAGCACAATTCTTGGCACATAGAAAATGCTTAGTCATATTAAATGAATGAATGAATGAATACCAAAGTAAGTGCTTTAAAAGTTTACAAAAGGGAGAATTCAATAAATTCTGGGGTGATCAGGAATTGCTACATTAAAATATACGTAAATAAAATGTTCATACATAACATGCTTTAAATGCACTAATAAAGGAATTATTCAGAAGCATGAATAATCATGCTTCAACCTTTTTTAACTTCAGACTTTCTTAAAATAGGATACCTTTATAGTATCATATATGCTTTTTAATATGCTATAAGTATGTAGTTGGAAGAGCCTTAGGTTCAGGTTTCACTTAAACTCTTGAGATTAGACAAGTAGGAAGACATTCTTCTATCTGCGTCATCATTGTCTAATTTTATTTACTACTATTAATCGGTAACAATTATATTTATAGTATTTCAACAAATGAAGCCATTTTAATGCTATAATTTAGACTTTTCACTTATTTAAACAGTATTTCTCTCTACTTCATTCAGAAATACTATCATTTTAATTTTGGATAAAATTTGCCTAACATCTAACGCAAAACATTTTTACATAGCACATAGGCAGGACTGCCAGATTTAGAAAAAAGATAAAAATAAGAAACCTACAGGATGCCCAGTTAAATTTGAATTTCAGGTAAACAATTTTTTGTATGTATAAATATGCCCTACGTAATATTTGGGGCATACTTACACTAAAAAAAATTAGTTATTTATCTGAAATTCAAATTTAAATGGGTGTCCTTTATCTGACAACTCTACATGTAACAGACAAGAAGACCAGCAATAAATAGATGCTAGGATGGTCTTAGTTGACGAAAGAGTGCCAGCCATAAAGGTTAGTTTTCCTGGTACCCCAGAGGAAACCTAAGGACCCCAGCCATCCCCTATGCTCTATGGCTTTAAAAAGACCTAGCCTGACCCACGTGCTGTAGCATTAGGGCTCTTAATAGGAAAGTCAGTTTAGTGAAGGCACAATCCACGATCACGTGTAAGGATAGTTTTTTGTAAAGGAGAGTAAAGATGATGTGCTCTACAGAACTAGCCTCAGGATTTTGTCTTAAAAGATCTTATTTTACAGCTATTGTAATCCATCCAGTAATACTGAGGATACACAAAAGGCCAAAAGGTATATGAAAAGGTGCTCAACATCACTAATCGTCAGAGAAATACAAATCAAAGCCACAGTGAAATATCACCTCACACTTGTGAAGATGGCTATTATTTAAAAAAAAAAAAATGTTAGCACAGATGTGGAGAAAAGGGAACCCTGGTAACACAGTTGGAGGAAATATAAATTGATATGATCATTATGGAAAACAGTATGGAAGTTCCTCAAAAAGTAAAAATAGAATTATCATATGATCCAGAGATCCTACTTCTGGGTATTTATCCAAAGGAACTGAAATCAAGATTTCAGAGGGATACTTGCACTGCCATGTTTATTGCAGCATTAGTCACAACAGTCAAGATACAGAAACAACCTAATGTCCATCAATGGATAAATGGATAAGGAAAATATAATATACACATACAAAAGAAAAAAGAAGCATTAAAAAAGAAGGAAATCCTGCCATTTGTAATGACTGGATGAATCTGGAGGATAGTATGCTAAATGAAACAAGCCAGACACAGAAAGACAAATACTGTACGATCCCACTTATATGTGGAATCTAAAATAGTCAAACTCATAGAAGCAGAGAATAGAATGGTGATGGCCAGGGGCTCTGAGGTGGGGAGCGGGGGAATAGGGAGGTGATGGTCAAAGGGTACAAAGTTTCCATTATGCATTACAAATAAGTTCTGTAGACCTACCACGGTGCCTATAGCTTATAATATTATGTACTTAAAACTTTCTAAGAGGGGGGATGGCCCTGTGGCCGAGTGGTTAAGTTCGTGCGTTCCGCTGCAGGCAGCCCAGTGTTTCATTGGTTCGAATCCTGGGCACGGACATGGCACTGCTCATCAAACCACGCTGAGGCAGCGTCCCACATGCCACAACTGGAAGGACTCACAACGAAGAATATACAACTATGTACCGGGGGGCTTTGGGGAGAAAAAGGAAAAAAATAAAATCTTAAAAAAAAAAAAACTTTCTAAGAGGGTATATTTTATGTTAAGTGTTCTTACCACAAAAATAGTAAACAAAATAATAATAACAGGAGCAAGAGGAAACTTTGGGAGGTGATGGATATGTTTATGGCCTTAATGGTAGTGATAACAGGTGTATATTTAGCCCCAAACTCATCCAGTTGTATACATTAAATATGTACAGCTTTTTACATGTCAATCATACCTCAATAAAGTGGTATAAAAAAATTTAAGTTACTGAGTTAACTTCCTGTAACCCAGGGACTACTGTGAGACTTTATATGCATCATTACTATTAATCCTCACAACATCCCTACAAGATATGTGCCATTATCTCTACTCTACCAATAGAGAGACTAAGGCTGAGATAAAATAATACTTTGCCCTAGGCCACACAGTGAGGCAGGATGGAGATGAGACTCAAATTCAGGTTTGTCTGATGCCAGAACTACGTGAGTATTTAATAATGATGTTACAGACTGACTTCTAGTGCCAAGATTCTACTAAAGGACTAAACGAAATGCAAAAGTGCTCAAATGAGTTGATGTACAGGTAAATGCTCTCAAGATAGATAAGTTCTTAAGCAAGAATACAGCTCTGTGTGTATCTGTATGTAGTCACATATTCTCTACAAATTCTTCTCTAAAATCAAAGAGCTTTACAAAACCAAACCTTTGCCATTCCCCTTTGAATATATTTGAAATTTCCTAGATGGTACATTACTGTCCTAAGAAGCTAGCACATTTCCAAAAGGGCCTACCTAACTTTCACTATTAACACTGTGTATTAAATCAGTAAGCTACAGGCAGGTAAATACAAAAATAACCTGCCCATCAGTCCTCTGTTTCCCCAGGTGCAAGAAATGAAATGATCATAATGCTCTAAGACAGAGCAGAATGTTCATCTGAGTCACACCAAATAACTTGATTACTGCTAAAGTAAAATCTGAAAATGATTGAAGCGATTTATGATCAGCCTTTTGGAAGTCATTCAAAAGTGCTGTAATACTACTTCAAGGAAGATTATTAAATTTAAATGTCACTCTCTCTTCAGGGTTGTTTATCAACAGTTGAGTATTAAATTGGTGAGTCTGATTTACGTTATGTAATTTAACTAGTATATAATTTAAACTCTCTTATAATTCACTATTTGAATAAATGGAATAAACACAAGACTAAGTTTGGTAGTGAGATGCTCATCTCCAGAGGAGTTCAATCAGACTGGAAAAATGTTTGGTAAAGATTTTACAGAACAATGGCTCTGAACCTTGACTGCACAATGGAATCACATAGGGAGCTTCAAAGAATACTGATGCCTACGTCCCATCCATGGAGATTCTTATACAATTGGACTGAGGTGAGGCCTAAGCACTGGGATTTTTAAAGCTCCTCAAGTCATTCAAATAGGCGACCAAGGCTGACAACCACTGCTACAGAAAGAACTTAAGCATTGGGCAGGAAGTTGGGATGGATGACAAGTCAGGACCCTTCTAGCCCTGAGAGTCTAATTCTGACTATTGCTATGACCCATGCTAAAACTTGCTTCTAGACTAGACCTGAAGTTTCTTTGGATGTGCAAATTAGAAATAAATTGTTGCAGTAATATTGTTTCCTGGGAGTAGTTTCAAAATACAAAAAGGATGCTACTATTATTTAAACTTGCTCCTTAAAGTATCCTATCTTCTCCAGGTTCTAATTTACATTGAAGAGATATTAAAACTGAATAATTCAATCTATTCAATTACTAAATATCTACTGAGCATCTGCTATGTGCAAGACACTCTTCTAGGTACTGAACATTCAATAATGAGTTAGCTAGAGTTTCAGATCTTATTGGAACTTACAATTTAATAGGCACGAATGGCTGTGATACAAAAGTAAGGTAGGTGTGTTTGAAGTCTCAGTGCATGACAGTTCATTAAAGAGACTACGTCCAGTTGTGAGGAAGGGGTAATTCAGGCAGAAGTATTTTCTTA